CCTGCTGCTCCCAATTTGTCCTCCTGCCTGACAAGTCCGTATCACCGGCTAATGAAGGAGGGGGAGCTCTGGGAGAAGGAACACTCCCAGATCTAACAGAAACCTCTTCTCTAGTTTCAGGGGGAGGGGACTTGCTCTTCCAGGACACTTTTTCACTTAATCCTTACCCTTAGTTACTGGATGTGTGCCAAGGCAGGGCCTGCATTTTTTCACTAGTTCAGCAGCTCTCAGCTACCAACCTGGCATCAAGCTGTAGCCCCTGTGGAGTGATTAAGTGCCCTCACCTTGCTGTGACAGTGCTAAGCACAGCTCTCCCTGGAGTCCCTGCCTCATCAGCTTGGCCTCCCCGATGCCTTCCTGATGCCAAGGTACAAAGTGCCCATGAAGTTCCTGGCATCCCCTGGGCAGGTCTGGTAACCAGAGCCTGCCTCAGCAGCAGTTCTAGCTTGCTGGACTGATGACAAGCCATAGGCCTCTGTGAGGTCACTACTCAGCACCTACAGCATAGAGGTCTGATGTCAAGGCAACACCAGGGTCACCCATCCCAGCCCCTCTTGCTTGCTAGGGTGACACCAGGGGTCAGTTGTCTGTGATGTCAGAGACTCAGGCTTGCTGGGCTGATGTTTAGATGCCAGCCACAGTGAAGCCATTGCATCAGCATTGACACTCATACAGCTCAGCAGAAAGATTGTGCTTCTGCAACCCAGTGCTGTGTAGTGCAATGGTACCAAGGCTAAGGCTCTGATCAAGTTACTGTTTCAACAGCCCTCATGAGCAGGGCTGGAGTGTTTGGGCTCTGCAATCAGCTAAATTCAGAAATCCTCCTTTTCCTCCCCCTAACAAATGTGCCCTCATCCACAGATTAGCTCCCCTTCCAGGGACAATGCACTGGACAAACACACAGGCAGGTCAATGGAAAGCTTTAACTTTACTTATAATAAATAACGAAGCACTGAGCCTGTTGTGTATGTTCCAAGGCTTCTGGAGTCACGTCATTCAACCTCCTTCTGAGTCTTTTCACCTTAGCTGTAGATAGCAAAGTGTCTTGGGACAAATCATACCGCACAGTGTTCATAGTCAGGGTAGAAACAGGTTTCTTCAGCATTTGTCCAATGAAAGGTTAATCAGGAAGGCTGCCTTCATCACTGACCAGCCCTTGGATGCCGCCTCTGATACAGAAAGGAGATTCTGCCCCAGAAGGCTCCTCATTGTCCTTAGATAGGAGAGGAGAAGGGGAAGCGGGTGGAGGATGAGGTGGCAAAGCAGTTCCTCCTGGCTGCTCTCTGCCCTCTCCCTGATGAGAGCCCAGAGCCTGCGTCGCTTCCATCCTGATTGCTGGGTGACTGCAGTACATTTCATGCTCACTTGCTTTTTCAGTTAGCAGATGCCTGTTTTCTTCAACACCTGGGCAGAGAATAAGAAGAGGGAACATAACATTGTTCTACTGCTGACAGAGACAAATAAGAGGTCACTTGAGGATAAAAGCAGAGTAAAACACCCTGGGAAAAATCTTGCAGACTCCTATTCAGACAAAACACCACTGAATTCAATGGGGGTTTTGTGTGAGTCAGAACTTGTGAGTTAAGGTCCATGTCCTAGACCAGTCCATTATCCCATGATAATGCCTCTCAGCTCTGATACTGTGCCACTGTCTTGGTATCAGACCACTTTATACTGAAAGTAAAAGTTCCAGTGTTGTCCCTCCTCTATCTAAGCCAGCTACATCCAACCTTTCCTGTATTCAACAACTTTAATATTTGTGTTTCAAGTATTTTATTTTTTAAATTACACATTTCTATAAACAGCCAAATAACATTCAGCATCTTATAGGTCAAAATGAATTCACCTCTTGTGGGATTCCCCCAAGCTTTTCAAGTGCAGTCCTTATGCCCTCTACCTCCCTTCTGCACCTCTTTTGCCTTGTCCCATGAGTGATCTCTGAATTCAAGTGTCAGTGATCTCTGTGGTCCCATGAGAGGTTCAAGTTTTGCTGCATTCTCTGGAATGCACTTGCAAATATCTGCAAGGTTTCAGCACATTTTAAGAACCTACATGGATTTCTGCTCTTCATTTGCCTCTGGAGCATCCAGCACTGGACATCTGTAGAGGCACATACCAGACTGGATGCACCAACAGTTTGAGACGTTGAGGCAATGCATCTTCCAACTACAACTTTCTTCACTTGCAGCTAATCAGAGTGTTGCAGAGTAATGTCACACTGCCCTAGTGACTGGTATGACCAAGCTCGTTGGTTTTGAAGCACCTGCCACACACAGCTCCACTCTGGGTGCAGACAGAAATACAACTCTCCGCTGTAACTCATAATGCTTTGCAGGAAGTGTTCTAAGGCACAAGATCCCCCAGACCAAATAGAAGCTTTCTGGTGATTCCAAGGGGAAAGGAAATCCAGCTGCTGGCTGTGAGCTTGCAGCCTGTTTCCTCTAGCAACAGTCTCTCCTCTCTCCCAGAGGGGTGCTGTTTTCAGAATGAGAGGGAGGAAAGGGAGCTCCTTCTAAGGGTTCCCCAGCCAGAAACATTCTGAAAACAGCTCTGAGGCTAGGGGGCAGCACAGACACAAGATACTGAAGCCACTCTGTTCTGAAACATCTTCATCTGAACCCTCATGCAATAAGGGTTCAGATTTTCATGGGATTGGGTCCTTTTAAAGCACTTTGCAGCTGTGCACTTCTGTTTGGTCATGGCTGCAGTGCACTTTCAGGGGCCAGACTGGGTGAAAATTGTCACCTCTGCCTGTGACTTCTGTTGACATATAATGTGAATACATTGTCCTTACAGAAACCAGACACATTCCATGGCAAAGACATTAGCAGCACTCACCCTCAAGGACTAGATTTGTTGTGCTGCTCTTGCACTGCACAGGCTTCACTGAAGATCTCCTCTTCCCAAGTCCCGTAAGCTGTTCTGTGAGGCTTTTCACTTCATGGCACTCCCTCTCTGCAGACTAAAGAGGTTCACAAATACTATACACATCTTAGAAGGGTAGCAGATATAAGTCATATTCCTCTAGAGCTATTTCAGACTTTCTTTCAGCAAAAGAATACTTTCAGCTCTTCACTCACTCAACCCCTAGCCAGGTCAGCCAGAAGAAGCTTACAGGTTGCATTAATCAAAAGAAGAATGGGTTAGTTTCCATCTTCTCTCATTATATCCTTTGTCTTCCTTTTTTCACTCCAATGTTGCACACCGTCCCTCCCTAAAGCTTTCCTGCTCATCTAGGATAGCATAAACTAACTCCTCATAACTAGAAGTTTGTGTGTAGTAGGCCTTCAGTGAAAGAGTGCCAGACACCATCCAGCCAAGCTACTGTGCTAATCTTTTAACTACAAGCCAACAAGTGGAAAGTCAAATTTGCATCTCTAAAATAATGTAATTACAGAGCTTGCAAGAGAGCAAGGGCTGAGTCAAATGAAATCTCATTGGTCACCATTTGCCAATGGGGAAGTTTGGCTTGTTCTGTGGAGAGTAGGGATATTATCAGGTCACAAAGAGAGCTGAGACTGCTGGCTGTCAGTGGGCCTATTTTCGGATATTTTGATTTCTGGGACTGAAGGAGGTTGACGCAACAGGAAATTGCTCTGTAGACTTTGCTGTATAATGGGTTGTATTGACCCTTGAGGATCTGCTTGGCAGTTAATCTTTGTCACCCTGACAATTAACCTGGTAGAGCAATAAGGATATGCCTAAGAACTCACAGAGACCAGACTATGAATGTACTCTAAAGATGCTAACCCAGACAACATGGAAGTGAGGATCTAACAAAAGGTTTGGAGTGCTGATGGTTCTCTCTGGGAGCTGCCAGACATGCAGCTCCCCAGTTTAACTCATAGGGCTTTGCAGAAAGCACCTGAGTGCCGATCCAGGGAGAGAAGCTACATGTCTGCAACATCTGTCCCCTAGCCCTGCCTCCCCTCTCCCAGCTCTCGTGCTGTCTCAGGATTTGGAGGGGGAGGCGAGGCGAGGCGAGGCAGGGGAGGGAGGTCCATTCTGAAGTTTCCCCAGCCTGCTCTGCAGTACAGAGGCGGATGGATTGGAGCCCCCCACCTTAGCGGGGCTCCAATACACCCACCCAACCCTCCAGCACTGGCTGGGCAAATCAAAGACTGAACTCACTCCCCTCCTTTGGAGTGCCTTCATCTGAACCCACATGTAACCAGGGTTCAAATTGTTGCACAATCAAGCATTTTTTAAGTGCTCTGCAGCTGTGCGCTTCTTTCAGTGCATAGCTGTAAAGTGCCTTCAGTAGCCAATTGTACGACAAGCTGTCATGTCTGTCAGTGCCCTCCGTAATGGCAGCACTTGAGTGCTGTGACAGAATGCACAAGTTGTAGCTCTGCAGCACACTCCCTACTTTCTGGTCAACAAAAAGCCTAAATTGATCCTGCTTTTTGGGCTGCTATAAAAGCTTTACTGTTAGTCATAGTGCCAGGATCCCATTCAGAGCTGGGGAGTCTGATCCCTCTAGTCTGATGCATGCTGTCATCTGACTAGTACTTACTGTTTTGTGTGACAGTGTTTTGTTTGCAGAAGTCTCCTCTGTGCTTGCTGGTGGGTGGGAGTCCACAGACTGGCATGGCAACTCACTTGGTCCTTGGCAGTGAGGCTGCTGTTCCAGTTTAGGTAAAAGGGGCCATAAGACCATACAGTCTGCATAAGGATACAGAACAGATAGGCTGGACTTTCTGTCAAATCATCCAAATAGCATATCCTTTGGGACTCTCAGGTCAGGAAAATGCTCCACAATCCAGAGAGAAAACAACAAGAGCTTGTTACCAGGTAAAGAATGACCCTGACAGTGTCCACACTCCTCCAGCATAGACGTCTTCCCCCCCTGCTATCCCTGTGTGTGCTAGCCAATCCCAGGGGGAAAAGGTGGAACTGAAGGCATCCCTCTACACCCATGCTGCAGCAGTGTTATCAGTACACACATACAAGCACATTCTGTACCCCTTAGAAAGAAGCTGGAGTCACTCTTCATGGATTCTGCTTAGTGCTCATGTGTACATTTTTAACTAAAAAAAAAACCAGGGAAATTCCAAGAGAAAAATACTATATTAGGAACATGTTAAGGCTGAGAGTACATATTGGTAGCTAAGAGGTAAAACATGTTATCATATAGTATTTCTATCCCAAATGCCCACTCCCTACAGAAAAATTTATAGTTTCAGGAAATCTAAACATGGTGGTGTGGAAATGCAGAGGTATTTAAAGGCATAACTGAAGCTTCCATTTTAGTACCTAGTCTAGTTTCATTCTTGAGTGGTTTTCTTAGGTAAAGTTTGTTTCTCATTCTTTCCAAGACTTTTTGTTTCACCATTACTGGATTCTAAACCAAAAGCAAGAATATCACAGTTAAGTTGGTATCTTCAGATGGCATTTTTAATAATACATTCTGTATACACACCCCAAATGCAGCTCAGCTTATCTCACTGATACACCATGTGTTCTTCCCCATTCCCAACCTCCAGGAGGTGGCCATGTTAGTTAAAAGAGATGAGGTAGTTTTAATGAAGGGGGAACTCAGAGAGATCAGACAGGGAATGATGCTTGGCTTGGACCAACTCAGGTGAATGGTTCTTCTGAGGAGCAGGGGAGTTGAATCAAGCCTGCAGATCATGTGTATTGATGAAGGTGAGTAAATGTGCAGTTAAGGGATCACGTGGGTCATCCACATGGAAGCTGAAGTCAGCAAGAATATGTGTGGGGAGGAAAAGAGAATACAAAGATACGAGGATGAGTTTGACTGGTCTCACTTAGCTTTGGCAAATCCCCTAGGGTAGTGATTTTCAACCAAAGTAACCTGGCACCCTGGGGTGCCTTAAGATCCTTTCAAGGGTGCCTCAGGGTGCCAAATGATGTTATCACTGTCAGGTATAAAAACATGGGCTGCTTGCAGACATTAAAAAACCAGACAAACACACTTTACCAGAAGAGGCAGTGCACTACTTCAACCCAACTCTGCAGCATCTGTATAGATTAGGTGCTGCAGTGGGGCTTTTTGGCACTTTTAGCTAAAACTAATTTAATCAGCTGTTAGATCAAAGCGCCAAAAAACCCCAACTAAAGCACCCGATCTATACAGACGTTCAGCGAGCCAGGTCCAACTAACGCACTGCCTTTTCTGGGCATATGCTGGGCACATCATGGAAGTGCACCAAGTTTAAAGTAAAGCATTGTTTTGGGGTTTTTTTATGTCTGCAAGCAACCATAATTCACAAGATAAACTCAGAGATTTCAAATAGGAATCCACAGTGTTAAAAACCTTCTGACTCCCTGTGGGCTAAATTCTTTGCAACAGAAGAATTGCTCTATTATTTTTCTGTGCTCAAAAAAACAGTCAAAACAAAGCTGGCATTTTCCAAAGAATGTCCTGAGCCTAACAAGGATGCCCTGAATCTAATGAGGAGATGCTTTGACTCTAAAAAGGTTGAGAACCATTGGATTAAGGACTGCTGTGACTGACTGAAAGACATTAAAGCAGTTATTCTCAACCAGGCTGCCTCAGCATCCACAAGTGCCTTAAGATCCTTTCAAGGATGCCGTGAGATGCCACACAAAATTACTACTGTTAGGTGTTTAAACATGATTCACAAGATAAGCTGAGAGATTTCAAATAGGAATCCATAGTGTCAAAAGCATTCAGAACTCCTGTTGTCTCTCTGAGTTCTTTGCAACAGAAGAATAGGACTTGCATTTTTCTGTAATCAAAAAATGAATAAAAACTAAGAGCTGATATTTTCTCAGGGGGACCACAAGCCTACCAAAGTACCTCAAACCTAAAAAGGTTGAGGACCACTGGTGTAAAGAAACCCTTGACTCCACTGCAAAAGGAAAATGTCCTGTAGAAACCATGGACTCACACTGCCTTGGAAGCACTTTCTTTTGCCTTTGTGAAAAACAGAACTATCAACAGATTTCCCCACTTGCAGAAAGTCCTCTGTAATAGATTTCCACAATGACAGCTCATGACTGGGGACAAATTGCCTCCTCAGGACACCAAGTCTGTCACCAAGTTCACACACACCGGACACATCTATACATGTATTAATGAGCCATAAATACTGTGCATTAATTTTAGTACCTGCAATAACAGGTACTAACTCAATGTGCAGTAACTGGCATTACTGAGCTGTAGCACTGGCACACACTTTTTTAGTGACACTAATGCACAGCAGACTAACTCTACTGTGCATTATTAGCACCTTAGCACAACTTTTGCCGTGACGCGCTAATGCACAGTAGAATTTGTCTACTGCACATTTGGTATTTTGTGTAGACACACCCACTGGGTATCTTCTGCAAAAGCAAATGACTCACATGCTTCTGCTTAGCCTCAGGCTCTGTCCTGTTCATTAGCAACAGGGCTCTCCGATCTTGCAGCTGCACTATTGTAGCAGTCTGCAGATGCCTGGGGACAGCATTCCCCTTTTTTATCTGAGGAGCTCTTGGTTTCCCTTCTGTGGCTGTAGAACTAAAGACAAAACAAAGAGGAAGAATCAATATTGCCTCATTTCAAGAAATCAGGTGTCAAGGACAGGACAGATGCACCCAACTTTTCTCAAAGGGAAAATACATCAGGAGTGCAGTAAAGCCACAGAGTTGTAAACAACAAATATCCCTTTAACGAAGGTAAGGATTGACAAGCCCCTTCTGATGCAGCACTGAGACCTCCTCTACTCTTGCAAGCTGATTTAGGGTGTGTACACAAGTGATCTATGCATGTTTTACAGTACTTTAATTTAGAGCACTTTTTCGAGCACTATAAAGTTATAACACTCTTAAACATGACAGAAGTGCAGTGTTTCATGGGGGAGGGGTGTGATATCTGAGCCTCCCTCTTCTTTCCAAGCTAGGAGGCAGGGGGCACTCCACAGCTTCCTGGGGCTTCTCCACTGATCAGAAATTTGACCAGTGTACAGAAGTTATTTCAAGCACTGTAGATTGCTAAAGTGCTATAAAATACAGCACTTCAAATTTAATACCTCATTTAACAAGAGTTCATTTAAAGCACTGGACTCATTTTTAAACGCTTTAAAGCTGTGCACTTCTGTTAAGTCACAACAATAAATGCTTTAAATAGCAAAAAAAACAGCTTCTGTACACACCCTTACTATGTCCTTTCTCCTTCTTAGCTGGGTCTCTTCTAGACTGGAACCAAAGGGAAAACAAAGAGATCCTGGGGCTGGGCAGAGGTACAAGTCTGAAAAAGTGCCATTGTTTTGCTTCAACTACTCCTTACCCTTGAGCATTTCTGCCTTCCCAGGATCCTATTTTAGAAGAAGTCCCTGCAAACCTCCCCATGCATTTTCACAACTAACCAGCCCACAATGCCCACAGTGCACAAAGGACAGAAGAAGAACTCTCTCTAGAACGTTTGATTCCCAAAACCTGACTCCCAGAGCGAACAGGAGCCGCACCACCCGAGCAATGTTTGCACCTGCTGTTGGCTCAACAACAGCAATTTGAAATCGACAGCACACTAGCCTGTGTGGCACTCTGGTACAGAGAACAGACCGAAACAAGGGTTATTTAATTTAAATGGCTTACCTTTCGCCTCTGTATTTGGGGGCTGGCTTCGTTTTTTTAGATGACCAGTTCATTATTTGGCATCTTTTGGGGTTCAGGAGATAAGGCTGGTTTCCTGTAGGGGTTTCCCAGGACTTCTTTCTTTTCTGGAGAACAGAGCAGTTACAATGAAACAGAAACTCAGGAGAAAAATGTTTCCTCAGGACCTTAAGCCTGGAATGCCTGAGCCCCTTACTGCCTTCTCTCTTCCAGATAAATGTTTCCCAGGGGAAATAATCAGAAAGATGGGCATTTCATCCTAAAGCAGAGAAGGCACAATGGATTGGTGAGGATTTCTCCTCCTCAGACATTATTTTGCATCCTGCAGTATCCTGCACTTTAACCTTACAGCCACCCATGTCTTGATTTCAGCTAGGGGGGATTCTGTTGCAATGCTGCTGCTTAGTCACCTCAGTGTTTTGCTGTGGAGCAACACAAAGCAAAGCCTCTCTTACAGTGAGGGCCAAGCCTCCACAGCCCTTTATTTCCACACAGGGGAACTATGAGCTGTGAATAATATGTCCAATCAGAGGTAATTGTGTGCCACTCCTGAAAGAAGAGCCCTCAGCCCTCTTCTGTCCCAGAAGGCATGAAGAAGTTATCATTTCTTTAATCTGCATAAAGCATTTGCCCTCTTTACAGTGGTCTTCTTTCCATCTCTAAGATGCTGTACAGCAGTGGCTGGAAACACAGATAGTCCAGAGGCATTATGCAAATACTGAAGAAGCTTACAGTGTCAAAGCCTCTTCCTTTGCTTTGCACTTCTTTCAAGGAAAGGAGATTTTCAGAGGGAAGATTTTTAACACACAGTCTTCTTAAAGGCTTTAGTCTAAACAAGGGAAAAACAGGAATTGAATTAATGGCAGCAGTACACATACTCTGTGCATAACATTTTACCAAAAGTCTGAACGTTCAGTTACGGTGAAAAGTAATCCCTGTTTTTATCAAGTATCTTCACAGGAAACCAGTATTTGATTCCCAGTCCTTCAGCAGCAGTTCTAGCCTGCTACACATGGAGTACAAAACACTCAGGAGGTGGAGAATGAAAGCAATGCCTCACACTTCAAAGGTCCCTGTCAGCTGGTAGGACACCAGTGATAAAGGAAATCTGATGCAGAAGGGTGAGAGGAATCTGTGATTCTTCTGGCTCCAATAGTGACATGTAAGATTTTCCCTCTCTCATCCTTGAAAAACAAAAAAATAAAACTAGCAAAAATTTATATTTGAAAGGGTTAACTGGCATCAGCCTAAGCATCAGAGACCTGCTTGATGAGGTAGTAGTAAAATTATGCACTACAAAGGAGGGGGCCTGGGCTTGAACTGCAGACTCTTACTAAGTCAGCAAGAGGTTCTGGGAATAAATACTATTTTGTGTGATTCAGCAAGGACACCTGATCAGAACCTGAGTAAGTTCCACCCAAAGGAAGTCTCAAGGAATGAAGAAAAAACAAGCTAAGGGGTCCAGCTCAGATTCCTTACCCATGCCCTGGGTTTAAAGACCTAACTTAATTCCTAGCCTGTTAATTGGATGGACTGGAATGATGATGAATGGTGGACCAGTAGTGCTGCGCTGACAAATAGATTCAGAAAAGAAATAAATAAACTGAGAGTATGGAAGTCAGCTCCATAATCCAAGGTATATGAGGGACTCATTGGGCAACTCCTGTACAGCCATCGTTCCACCCCAAAGGCTGTAAGAATAGGCTGCTGCCACTTAGCCACATTTATGCAGGGAGACCAGGCCACTAGATCTGGTTGTCGTGGACTGTGCATTACGGCTCTGCAAAGCTTTGGTCCCTGATTCGATTCGGTGGACATTTGTCCTAATTTGGTGGCTGAATCTCTGAATCCAAATCGAATCAGAGGACCCTTTAATCTCTCCGAATCAGATCCGAGCCCTCTAAATCGGAGAGATTCGCAAAGATTCGGAGATTCAGACATAGACACAGCTTTAAATGTTTTTTCTACATACCTCTAGGTATCAGGCAGCTCGTGAGTGCTGCAATGCTGGGGTGCACGGAGTGTCCCACAGAAGCAAAGGGGGGCCCCAGCGCACTCGGCAGCAGACCCAGAAATAGACCAGAAGCACTTTGGTCCCGAGGAGCATGTGGAGGGGCTGCACCTCCCGGCTCAGTGACTGGTGCCTCCTGAGTCTTGGGGGGCACCCGGGGTCCCTCTACAGCCAAATGCTGAGCCGGGGGGGGGGAGCCATGCATTCCACACTGGACCCGGAAGTGGACCTGAAGTACTTCCGGTCTGCTTCCAGGTTCACCGCCGAGCACATGGAGGGTCCCCCACCCCACACTTCCGTGGGACGCTCCATCTGCCCCAGCATCGCAGTGCTCACAAGCCATACTGGTACCTCAAGGTATGTAGAAAAAACATTTAAAGCTGTGCCTAAGTCTTAATCACTGATTCTCGAAATCAGCATTGAATCTTCAGATTCGTCCGAGTCGAATCAGGGACACTGATCCGAATCAACTAATCAAATCACTGTCCCTGATTCAGGCCAAATCCAAATCCAAATCAAATAGGGCCCGCTTTGCACACCCCTACTATGCATCCTTTCCTCCAATCAATCCTGACTTATCTGCCAGTCTGTTCGGAGCTGACTTACAGAGCTGACTCTGTAACAAAAGGTTGGCACAGCACCCCTTAATCATTATGAGCTATCTGTTTCAGTTCCCCCTCTGCACCACAAGTGAATTTCAGCCTAGAGAGTCTAAACCACAACAACCCTTCCTCTTAATTGCACCAATATGTACATGACTCATCCATCTCATGCACATGCTCAGATGACTATTTTGTCTAGTTTAAACCACTGGACATCCCATTACACAAGTGTATCTCACCCAAATGTGGAGCTGGTCATAAGTCATTGGCATTTTAGCATGAACATGAAAGTACAGAGAGCACATTTATTAATGCACCAACCCTGCTTTAAGTTGGCTCTTGAAGACCAGGGGTCAAATTCTAGTGTCACCTCCTTACACTAACAATGTCACTAACTTCTGTAACTGGGATCAGTGTAAACTGATCTATCAGCTAGAAAGCTTGGTTGAGATTTTCAAATGCCCTGACATTTAATGCAGGGGTGTAGGTTGTAGCCGTGTTGGTCTAAGGACATAGGCAGGCAAGGTTCCTTGGGTGAATTTGATATCTTTTATTAGACCAACCCAAATAGTTGGAGAATAGTTATTAAGCAAGCTTTTGAGTTCAAAAACCCTTCGTCAGGCTAAGGAAGTTTCAGCAGTTGGTGTGTGCTCTTCCTGAAGAACCTTGTCTGACATTTAATGGAACTCAGTATCCAAATACATGAGGTTGCAATGGAAACTGCAGCTCTTGTGCACTAAATTTTACATCTATGCACTGCAAGAGATTCTTTCCCAAAAACTAACTGAGGAAAATGATCAAGCCCAAGAGTGTGAGAGAGTTTGGTACACCCGAGAAATTAAGTAATTGAGGTGAACGTGCAAAACCAGACAGTAGGTTCAAATGCAGCATGCAGAACTTGGTGGCTTTTCTCTGCTGCTGACTCCCCATGTTCAAATATCCATAGGGACCTACTTAACTTGCAGCAAGACAAAGCCATTTTCACAGTTTTCTCCCAGCATGAAAAGCCTATTTCACAGGCATTTCACAGCAACCCTGCCCCTTGGCGCTGATGGGTGGAGTGGCCCCACTTCTCAGCACTGATTGGCAGAGAGGCCCTGGGGGAAGGGGTGGGGAGGAGGGACAAGAGGGTGACCAGCACCATAACTGCCAGCTGACCATTGTCCAGCCCCATCCCTCAGTGTTGATTGGTGGAGAGGCCTCGGTGGGGAGGAGGGATAGCCGCCATCTTGTCTGCTGCGCCCTTCAGGCCACCCCACCAGCCAGTGCCTTCCCCTCGCAGGTGGGTTGCAAGGCTCACCCAGAAGGGGAAGACTTAATAAAAACGTTTTTATTAAGTTTCTTTTTTGCAGATTTCATGGACACCCCTGGATTTTGTGGTTTCCATTAAATCTGCGAAACCACGATTTAGGCAGGTTTCTAAATATCCAGTCTGGCTCAACATTGACTGGGATCAAATACTTAGTGTTAAACTGAGTAAATAACTGATCAAATAACAGCGTTAACCACTGTTCTGTCCCATTTCAGACTAACATCTTCAGATTTACAGGTTCACAGCCAAGACCGCTGTGAGCTACAAAACTATGTTTTCACTGGATTGCTACAGACAGCCACTAGCTATGGGTTCAGGTCCAAATGACACATTTTGCTCACCTGGGAAACAAGTATCCAAAAGCAGCTTCTGTACCATGAAAGTCCCATCTCTAATACAGTGGGATGTCCAGCAAAGCCCTGACACTCAAAGCTCCATCTTGGGCTAAGCAGAATGCCACTGAGGTCACAATGGTGCACAGTATTCAGGGACATGGAGATTGCAAGGGGGACTGCTGGATGCCATTTTGTGGAAATAGGTGCACTCATGTGACTTCAGCTACCTAGCCTTTGGTCACTCATAACCTTAGGAGAAAGGGTCTAGTGTATGTTGTTGTAACAGGGGCTCAGGCAGGAGCCCCATTACTAAGGTAGTCATGGGAGTGGGTGGCTATAGAGAGCACCTTGCACAGGTGAGGAGAATTACACACTGGGAGAAGGTCAGGATAATTATCCCGCCGCAGCTGGTATAAGCCCAGCGGCAAGTGAACACACTTTGCCTTCGGGCACTGGAGGAAGAAGGGAGGACTGCAAGAGAAGAAAAGAAGAGAGAGAGAGAGAGAAGCCCAATCCACAACCCAGGAGAGCCTGGGATGGCAGACCCTGAGATGCCACGGCTGGCTGGTAAGGAGGTGAGGTACTCACTTGAGACCTGCAGTCAATATGGTTAACCCAGGGAAGAACTGGGGCTCCAGGAGACTGTCGCACCAAGGAGAACACCGAGGAAGAGGGCTTCAGGGCAGCACACGGGCAGCAAAAACAGTGCAGAGCCATTCGTGCCACCAGACAGCTTAGAGCAGTGCTGGGTCTATTATTAGGCACAGGGAGGTAGCCACAGAGGCAGCTCCTGGCTCGGGACCCACAGAGGTGCAGGGAACACGCCCCGCAAATGAGTTAATTAGCAGGGAAAACGCAGCCTGAACCAAAATAGCCTAACGCATCCCGGGCACTCTCAGGCTTCCGGAGTTACCTTATCAGCTACATTGGTTTCCCTTGCTAATGAGATAATTAGCAAGGTGAATGCAACTTTGTAACTTCCTGCTAAGAATAAAATCAGCACTGTGTGAGTTCATCATCTGGGTGGTTTGTGGTGTTTCCTCATCCCTAAGGATAGCACTGAACATTTTTTCTTTCAATCAAAGTCGTGGCAGGAGAGTTCAGAGGGAAACCCAGATAGACCCAGCCACCCTCCCACAGTTGTACTTATCACTATGAAACTTACTCTGTTTGTGTGTGTACAACAGGCCTCTGAGATTTTCGATGTATATTTGGGATCCATTTGACAATCAAATTTCCACCATCAGGCCAACTGGTCTGAGTGGGAGCAGCTAGCTCACCAAGATCGATTACTTGAAGCTAAGATATAAACACGATACAGTTAATCACTTTTAAAGGTACAAGTCCTAAAGTACTCACAAAGCTGCAGGAGGGTCACTGCACTCCTGCAAGTGCCAAGCAGTGTTCCCTCTAAGCTGAGCAGCGTGCGCAGCTGCACAGGCGCACCTGGCAGCGCAGCATGAATGCGCCTGCACAGCTACGTACACCACACAGCTTAGAGGGAATGCTGGTGCCAAGTAATAAGTTGCAGTTTTCTTTCAAATGATGAGATACAGAAATGAATGGCTAATTACGTGTGATCCTGCAGAACTTCTCACAAGAGATTATATTATGCAGAGACAGTCCTTCCACTGCAATTTCCAAGGAGCCCAAAGGCAAGCTCTGAGTTTTCTCAGGAGGAGACACTTGCATTTACTTGTGTCTCCACCTTCCACTTTAAATCACTCACTTTTCCAACTCTGTTCAAATAGGTGAGGTTCATCTGTCTGTGCAGGATTGCATGTGACTCTGTTGCTGAGTTCAGTCCTGGGAAATGAAGTCTTTCTGAACTGAAATAGAAACACAAGTCAGAATCATGAGGAGACCAATACAAACTACCAATATGAAAGAAAACTTTAAGTGCTACAATATAGAGCTTTTCCTCTCTGAAGTATCATACAAGTGCTAAAGTGGAAAGCTCCTCATTAGCTATCTGTCCTAGTACAGATGCCCTGTGCATCTTACTAAATCACACGGAAATCCCATTTGACCAGCAGACTTATAGGGAGATTTTGAATACACTAAGTAGTTAGAGTAGCTTACAATGATGGGGTCTCTGGGATATACTGAACTTTTGACTGGTCTAAAATCTGGGGTGGTTCAAATGGTCTAAAGTTTGAGGTTAAAATGCTGAATTTGGAGGCCTTTGTCACAAATGACCTAAGCTTAGGAGGTCTGAGCTAAGGAGCAGAGGGTTCCAGAGGGCATCCAGACACTGGCAGACTCCCCTGGAAGTTGTTATTGTCTTTTCTTCTTGGGTATTTCTCTCTCTAAGGGGAAAACGGTTTTAAGAGAGAATACCATGAAAAATTAGGGCTGCCATTGCACTACAAGTGAGAAGGGAACCATTTAAAAATGAGAAAATGCCACCATGAGGGTGCCAGCTCTAATTTAAAAAGGAATACCAAACAGGTTAGTAAACTATGTCTTTCTATAATTAAAAAAAGAAGAAGAAATAAATTGACCAGGAGTACAAGAGAACGACAACAACAAAAACAGATGGGCAAGGATACATGTCTATGATATTTTCTAAAAATCCCTAAAAATTACTCTTAACAAATAACCAGTGCTTGTAACCTATCCTGTAATTCAGGGGTAGCCAATCTGCAACATGGGTGGCACAAGCAGCCTATATATAGCACATGGCAGACTGGGGAGGGTACAGGCAGCACAGGGGCAGATAAGGCAGGGATCAGAAAGCAGAGCAGCAGCTTGGTCAGGGAACAGAAGGCAGAGCAGCAGAGTAAACAGGGCAAAGGAATCAGACTGGCACTCCAGGGAGAGTGTGGGGCTAATTTGTGGCATGCCCCTGCTGCTGTAACTCATGCTTATATGCTATAGCTCTGCGCTTTTCTGTTGGCTGGGCCCCATCCAGAACTGTGTGAGTTTTACTGGCAATGAGCTAACAAAGCTGGGTCATTTGGCTCAAGCAGTAGAGGAGAGAGACATAATTAGCCACATTAGTCTGAATTCAAGTGGAAAGCAAGGTAGATTTGCACCTCAAAATAGATATATACCACAAGCTTTCATCAGCTGAACCTCACTTCATTAAATGCTATAAAGGCTCATGCTTTTCAGATCCAGACGTCTGAGATATGTGCCTATTATTAACAGCACATCCACTGTTGTCACATTGCAAACTAAGGTGACGTATTCATCGTTACCCTGATCAGTTTATGCCCATTTTTGCTCTCCCTGTTTACATCAAGCGGTAACTCCCTCCATAAACAGTCCTACAACTAGTTATGGTGCAGTAGGTTATTGTTCCTTAGGACAGAAGGGGATAGAACTGATTCAGATGTATTTATCCTGAGACAAATTATGTACAGACTAAAACATTTACCGGTTCAAGGTCTACACGTGCTTACTCTTGGTCACTGAAAACAATCTCAGTTTATATATAAAATTAAGCACAGGGGTTTGCATATCTCACCTCCAGACCCTTCCTCACCTGTTGTTTTTTATTTCTTTCTATCTTGCCTATTTAAATTGTAACCGCTTCACAGCAGAGACTATGCTTTTCATGACTATGAATAGCACCAGCCACAATGTGACCTGGTCTTGACTGGAATAATGACTATTTAATTATAATGATACAGCCTATTGTAAAAACAATCAATCTGGTTTTTTTTATTACTTGTATTTCCTAGACCCTGCTCTAACAAACACTTATGCATGTCCTTAACACTGAAATCAGTGAGAACACTTACTTGAGTCTTTACTGTGCCTGGCTCCCTGTGATCAGAGACCTGAGGAAGAATGTCTTGCACTCAAAAGCTTGTCTAACTTCATCCCAACTATATAGTTGATCCAATAAAAGATATCACCCTAAAAAATCCTTGCCTCTCACACTGAGTGAAATAAACCATACGGGTAATTATTTGCAAAACTGGTGCTGTAAGTGCTAAAAGTTTGCTCTGCCCAGTAAAAAACAGAGGAAAATGATCCTGCACACTAGGATCAGGCCCTGGGGTCCCCTGCACCCTCACCTAGTCCCTGACTAGTCCAGGAGCAGGCCCCCTGCCAAGATCAGGCCCCCACACACTGGGACTGGGCCCTAGGGTCCTGTGCTACCCCTGCCCAGCCTGGCACACTGGGATCAGGCCCCTGTGTGCCATAATTTGGCCCTGGGACCCTGTGCACCGGATCAGGCCCTTGTATGCTAGAATCAGACCCTGGAGCACCATGCCACCCCACATTGTGCATGGCCATACTGTCCAGTCCATGGGGCTCCCTATGGGTCCAGAAATTTGGCAAAAGGGGAGCACCACTGGGGAGCCCCACAGGCCAAATGAGAAGGCTCCCAGAGCCGTAAGTGGCACTCCAGATGTATACCACAGAGCAACTGCTGCCTCTAAATGTATTTCTGTCAACTTCTTTCAGAAAAACAAGCATGCCATAAGTTTGCCATCAGCTCACTGCAAACACTTAATCCGCAGCATACCAACTGTATCAGCCATGGATGGGAGCTTAACAGCAACTCACCTCACTAAACTATCTCGCTCAGATGAGTCATGGGCTGAAGTTCCCTGAAGAGAAGCATAGGAGAAGGTCTCCAGTGCAGAGAAAGTGGTTGTTCTGTTGCGTGTAGAACATCTGGTCACATTTTGGGAAGAACAAATGCTTGGCAAGTTTATAATCTTCAGCGTTGGTAATTCATCTAAAAAGATAAAAGCAAATATACTGTCTACACTGAGGATGTGATCTTAATGAGCTTTATCATTACAGACTTTAACAATTTAATGTCCATTTTAGACACGATAGCAGGGGCAGGCAATTATTTTGGGCAGAGAGCCGCTTACCCAGTTTTGGCAAAATGTTGAGGGCCGCATGGGTAGCCCCGCCCCTTGACAGGTGCCCCGCCCCCTGGTCACCATCTTGGGACCAGTGTCACAGGGCCAGCACTGGCGGGGCCCAGAGCGGGGCACAGGCTGGCAGGAGTCTGTGAAGCCGGGCTGGGCTGCACCAGCAGCGAGCGGAGGGGAGCTGGCCCGGCTCCATAGAGCCCCTGCCGGCCAGGACCCTGTACCCCTGCTTCCCTGCTCCGGGTCCCACCAGCGCCGGCCCTGGGACACTGGTACAGGCCCTGTGCTCCCACTGGCTCCCCGCCTGCTCACACCCAGTGCTCCCCAGCCCCACGATACAGGTTGGGGTCAGCATGCAACCCTGACCCCCTGCTCGCCAGCATTGAAGAAGCTGGTGCAGAGCATGAGGAAAAGCAGCCCTTCCCCTCCCCCATGGCCCATACTCCCTGCTGCAGCCGCTTGCAGCCTGGCAGGGCTGACCTGAGCAGGCACAGGCAGCCTCGCATGGGCTGTGAGTGGCTGCAGCGCGGGGCGCTGGCCACGGGGCAGGCGAAAGGCCACTTCCCGCCCCGCCCCTCCCCGTGCAGAGGCAGCAGCTGCTTGGCGTGGCAGAAAGCAGCACCCTCATTTGCCAAGCTGGGCAGCATTTGCTGCTGCTGCTGCCCACCAGGAGCTCGCACGCTGGGCAGCCCAGAGGCGGCAGTGGCAAGCACTGCTTGGTGCACCAAGTGGGGGAGTGAAGCTGCTGCCACCACATGCACCCCTGATGGGCGAGCCTGGAGCCAGCGCAGGGCCTAGACTGGCAGCGGGGGCAGGGTACAAGCTGATGCTGAATACAGGGGAGGAAAAGCGGCCCTTCGCCTGCCCCGTGGCCGGTGCCCCGTGCTGCAGCCACTTGCAGCCCGCGTGGGGCTGCCTGTGCCTGCTCAGCCCCGCGCAGGCTGCAAGCGACTGCAGCAGGGAGCACCAGCCATGGGGCAGGGGAATGGCCGCTTTTCCCCACGCTCAGCTTTTCCCCAGGCCACTTTTCCCCGGGTCCGTTCCCCTCCCCCTTACCTGAGTTTCCAGCTGGGGCAGCCACATGGTCGCAGGCCAGAACTCCTGCTGGGGCTTCTGGCTGGGGGCTGGGCGGGGCCGGGGGGCCCTGCTGTTGCAGAAGCCTGCCGGGGCTTGCCCTGGATCCTACTGCCCCAGGCTCCTGTCATTTTTCACGGGAACCAAGGGCAGATAAATATTAATTTTCTAAATTTTTTAGGAGCCCTGTGGGCCAGGTAGAATGACCTTGCAGGCCACATCCGGCCTGTGGGCTGTATTTTGCCCACCCCTGCACTTCAGCCTCATCAGTGTGCTGTCAGTCCAATTTAAACAGTGACTAATGATCATATAATTAACTCTTCATCTTTTCTAGTGCCTTTTACCAAAGGATGTGAAAGGAATTTTGAAAAAAGTAATTAACTAAGCCTCATAACCTTGCCACCTTCCAAACTGGATAAACAAGGGGCTATCCAGCACCTAAATTCAACCACCTCAGAGGTGCACCATAGAAGCTGTTTACCAGTGCACAGTAATACTACAAAAAAGTTCCTTACAGAAAATAAAGAATGACACAAATTTAACTAGAAGAGGAACTTTTAGGATGCTCAATGTAGTCTTGGTTAGAAGGTGGACATGACATCAGGCTTAATATTTCCTTCTTATAAAAAATGTCAGAGGATCTGTAATAAGACTAATTGGTCAGAATATCAGTTTTACATCTCATCTGAAAGACACTACTACCGTGACTGAAAAATCTGAAGTGGGATACTGGCTTACTACTAAGAGGGGGAAATGCTAACATTTGGAGTGCTGTGTCCAGTTTTGGGCCCTCCACTACAGAAAGGATGCGGACAAATTGGAGAGTCCAGCAGAGGACAACGAAAATGGTTATGGGGCTGAGACACATGACTTATGAGGAAAAGCTGAGGGAACTAGGCTTATTTAGTCTGGGAATGAGACAACTGAGAGGGGATTTAATAGCAACCTTCAACTACCTGAAGGGTGGAGCAATGGTCTCAAGTTGCAGCAAGGGAAGTTTAGGTTAGATATTAGAAAGAACTTTCTCACTAGGAAGGTAGTAAAGCACTGGAACGGGTTACCCAGAGAAGTTGTAGAATCTCTATCCTTAGAGATGTTTAAGACCTGGGTAGACAAAGCCTTGGCTGGGATCATCTAGTTGGGGATGGTCCTCCTTTGAGCAGGCAGTTGGACTAGATGACCTCCTGAGGTCCCTTCCAACCCTAATTTTCTATGAATCTATGATAGGTCAGGACAATCACACAGAATGATCTGAATCGTGTTAAAGTGGGGCCAGTTCAAACAAAATGAATTTTAATAAATCCAATTTCAAGGTCGTAAATCTGGGAACAAATACAGAATCAGGGACTGCAGGTGCTCTTATGGTGCCTAGAAAGTAGGGACTCTGAAAAGGATTCAGGCATCATGGTGGACATGTATTTCAAAATAAGCTTCCAGGATAATCCTATGATAAAAAGAGCAAGTGTGACCCTTGCACTGGGGTTCAAAGATAAGGGTAGTAGGTAAAAGCAGAGATGTGATTTTACATATACATAGGCATCAGTGAGCTCAATGCCACAAAGCTGCATACTGAAAAATTTGACCATAGAAATTATTTGAAAATCTATGACAATGACAGACTTGAAGAACTCCAGTCTGCCTGCTTACAAAAAAGAAGACCGAGAGATGGCTTGCTTGTTGGGGATAAGTACCTTTATGGGGAAAAAATCCTGGGTCCTAAAGAACTCTTCAGTTTAGAAAAGAACAGCATAGCAGAAGTCAATGGCTGGAAGTTCAAGCCAAACAGACAGGGACTTACACTACAGCTACTGCCATTTTTTAGATGTCTTGTACATATTGATCCCACTCCAGGCACAATGCATGCCCTGAGCACAAAAGAGACTGGGATCTTCTAACCAACAGCTGCATGAAAGGTACGTGGACTATGGTGTAACAGGGCACCGGGGTGTGCCTATTTCTGAGAGGCACCTTGCAGGTGGCAAAGGGGGTTAATTAGGGACTCACCTGACTAGCAGCAGGTCATGCTTGAGCTATATAAGCCCTGGGCCTGACCCAGTCATGCAGTTTAGTTTTGAGAGCCATGAAATGAGGAGCTCTTAGCAACAGAGCTCCTAAATAGACTGAAAGGAAGCAACTCTGCAATGCTGGGAACAAGGGAAGGTACCCAAGGCAAAGAGAGGCTTGTTATACGGGCAGGTGGCCTTGGTTTTATGTTATAACCCAGAGAATGTTTGAGTGTCTGCAGATCCTTTTTATTAAGTTGAATCAGTGGTTTAGCTTTGAGCCCTAGAAGGGCAGGCTCAAGGCCTACTTAGAGTGCCAGTAGCCCAATAGTGGCTGAGAATCGGGCCCAGCAGAAAGTGCAGGAGCTCAGAGGGTGGGGATCAGAAAATCCATGAGCCCAAGGCCAGAGAGGGGCTGGGAGTGTTATCAGAGAATCCAGGAGCACAAAGCAGGGCTGAGAGCAAGACTGAAGAAGCTTTAAAGACACAGAGAGTGCCCGAGTGCGAGAACAGGAGACTCAGGAGCCAGGGACTGGCTGAAAGTCGGATCAGAGTGTCCACAGGCCCAGAGAAGGGGTGAGAGTCAGACTAGAGGGCCTGTGAGCCTGAGAGGGGCTGTGAGCTGGACTAGCAGGTGTACAAGCCTGGGGGGAAGGGGAGGCTGAGCTTGGGACTAGGGTTCAAAAACCCAGAGAGAGGCTGCATGTGGGACCAGGGGTTCGGAGGGCTCAACAGGGGACTCAGTGGGAGACCAAAGTCCAAGACCCCACAAGTGGCTGCATGCGGGACCTGAGGGTCCTGGAGCCGAGGTGGGCTGTGCAGGTGACCAGAAGGCCAAGAGCCCACAGAGAGGGGCTGAGAGCACTGAGGAGCCCAGAGAGGAGCTAAGTATAATAAACAGCAGGTGACATCATTGAAAATAACACCCATAAGGCATGGAGTGTGGTGTAG